TTTGTTTTTGTTCCTGATGTTTATCTCAAACTATAAATGAACGGTCCTGTAAAAAGAAGTATGTCCATAACATCTTCTTCTTATGAGTTAATAAATATAGATGTGTTTTCAGCATTGTGATAATTATTATTTTTTCAAATAATAATTCTGTGGATTTTGAAATGGTTTATTTATCTTAAAAAGCAGGAGAATCTTCTTCATGAAATAACACACAGAGAAGCATCTCTGTGCAAGATACTGAAACCCAAATTCCCTCTGGTGGCAGTTACATCACTGCATGAATGGGTGAATGTGACATGTAGTGGAAAAGCACTATACAAGTGCAGTCCATGTACAAGGTACTAAAAATTTCAACTTGAACATATGGGAACAATATATAACGACATTGCAAAATATGCAGGTTCATGTATTGTCACAGCTTTTGCAATGCATTGTTGTTGTTTTGTCTGTTTTGTTTTGTTTGTTTGTTTATTGTTCCTTCTTTTATATGCTTATTGCTGTAAACAAGCAATATGACGTTGCAGTCCTGTCTATGTGAAATGACTATAACAGCACACAGTATGTGAGAGGTGTCCGTGGTGGGGGAAGTATTTAGATCCTTTACTTTAGTAAAAGTATTAATACTACACTGTAAAAAACACTTCTGTCCACACTGTTGTTGTTTTTATGTCTACCTGCCCAGTGATGACAGATGCAAACTAGCTGCTGGTTAACTCTGGTTTAGTCACATTTAACTGTTTACTGTCCCTGCAACAATAACCAATAAATGAGAAAAGAAAAACAAAGGTTTAAGTCCTGCGTTCAGGAAAATGTACATAAAGTATTAAAAGTACTCAATGCAGAAAAACTCAATTTAATCAATCAAAAATAATTAAAACAATTAAGAAAAGGGAAGCAAATCATCTTATTTGAGAAGCTGGAGCCATAAAATATTTCTGCATGAAAAATTACTTCAGTGATTATCCCAATAGGCACCAATTAATTTTCTGTGTTTTGTGTGCAAAAATCTTGCACGCCAAAACTAAAATAATTGCAGTGAAATAAAGAGCACAATAATTCCCACTGAGTGTAGCAGAGCAGAAGTGGAAAGTGGCTTAATATCAAACTACTGAAGTAAAGTGTCAAATCTGTCTTTAAGTAGAGTACTTAAGTAAGTGTACTCATTCCACTTCTGGTAGTATCACACTCAACTGATCTTGCAATATTTTGTTGTATCTATGGCCATTATTATTCTTACAGGACAAATGAATATAGCAATATATAATATATAATGTATTACATATAGTGAGTCTGTCCTGTAATGCCACCTGTACTGTACAATAAGTGAAATGGAGCTAAATGTTCACTGTGTAAGACAGTGGACTTCAGCATCAGGCCCAGCCTGCAGCACTGCCCTCCATTTCTGGGGTTTCTGGGATCCACAGTCTCCCAGGACCTTTGAAGTGGAACATCAAACATCATCAGTACGGCCCAGCCTTAATTTCTTGTGCCAGCTCAGGAAGTTCAAGGAAACATCACTGCAGACCATCACACCCTGGACACCTGTTCAACTTCTCCTCTTATGTTGGTGCAATACACCAAAACACCAAAAACACAGGAACACATATTTACAGTTCAAGATACACACAGTGCTTTAATGTGTTCATGTCATACCATTCAGTATTTATTCCTTTGCTCTTTTGCACGACTGTTTACAATTTACAGAAACACTTGGATATAAGCATGTAAGTTGTTGGTCATAGTAGCTTTATATTCATATTTATATACATTCTGTTTCACCTATATACAGTGGTAGAAAAAAGTTTTCGGACACCCCATGCATTTGTGAAATATTGCATTAAGAATCACTCTTAGGTCTTCAAGTGCAATTTCTTTTAGTACAGTCACAGCCAAAATACTAAATAAATCCTAAAAAAGCCAAATTAAAATTGATTGGTTCCATAAAAATACATAAGAAATTTTGAGTATTGGGTCATTTTGGTACCAGTGATGAAGGTCGTTCTTTTTATTAAAAGACACAATTTTTGTTGCCAAGCTTCGTGTCTACATAAAGCCAGCATATTTGAAAGTTCTTCAGACACAAAAATGGCTAAAACAAGGAACCTAACGCAGGAAACACGCCTGAAGATAAAGATTCTCAGCCAGGAAGGGTACAGCTGCCGCCAGATAGCCAGGAAGTGCAGATGCAGTCCTTCAGCAGTTGGATACACTCTGCAGAAA